TGCCCCAAGCATTGACAGAAGGCTTTCCAGTCTCAGGGCATACTGCAGAAGTATTCTCGTGAGGTCAGTGACGCCTTGTGCGGCCAGGTGAACTCGGATCTCCAAAGGGAAGTAAGCCAGTAAGTTGTCGCATCACTCCGCTCATGACATCATGCTCTTGTCACAGACCGTCGTTGAATGTCTGTGGAAAAGGTTTGAGGCGCTAGGCTGGACCCCGAAATGCATCCCTGACGACTTTGTTACGTCCCGCTACCGCTGCTACTACGACCACCACCACTACCTCTACTACTCCTACTACTACCGCGACCGCAACAACCCTTTCTGGGATACTACAGCTGCTGCACTGTTGGTAAACTAGCCTCTAGCAATTAAGTGTTGTCGCTGCTGCTCAGTCTTCTACCCGTTGTACCTTCTGCTGCTGCAAGACAAGCTTGCAACACCGCGAAAGTGGCGATGCACGCAGTCTGAATTCAGTGTGCCTTACGTGTGATGCGGAAAGCAGCATCAGACAAAACGGACAAGCCAACTGAGTGCCCGTGCTTCTGTGCTGGTTCTTGACACTCGTTTATGGTCAGAGAAGGATTCTCTGACTCTAAGCTGCCAGGAACTGGTGAACAAGGTCGTGAAGTTTCAGACTGAAATGTATGGAATGTGATTTATTGGCAACCATGCCACTTGCTGTACATAGTCGATGTGCTTCAGCCGCTTCTAGGGCAGTGCCTAAAATGATAGGTCCGACAGTCGGGTCAGATTAGTCGGATCGCAGTGGGGCCCGCTTGCGTATTGCTCAAACATTACACGTTCACCGCAGCCACCAGTTGAGGGAGCCAAGGCTAAGAACTCTGAAGCAAGTGCCTCGTGTGACACGTCGTAGACATACCTCTGAAAGACAACTCCAGCCACACGGCCACTTTCGAGATCCTGCCTTGCAAAGCTCTGCCGGAGGTTCGTTGATTGCATCATGGTCATAGCCTGAAGTTGTATCGAAAGCAGTTTTTCGTGGAGACGCACTGAAATCCATCGCCAGCCAACTTGTACAAAGGAGATGCCAAGCACTTCCGGGTCGTGGCAAGGCTGGGCAGTCATCCTGAATGGGGGCTAGAGGCTAGTTGGCGTGCTTGGCATGGCCACAGCTGCCTATCGTTTTGTTCAAATTCCCGAATGGGCCCAAACACAACGCTGAGCGTCCCTGATCAGTGATGAGAACAGCTGAAGGCCCAGCGGTGGAGAAGGGCGCCCGGATGGCTCTTGTCTGAGCTGGATTCGCGTCGCAGCTTCAGTGTTCCGTGTTTTGACACCCTTGGCGCCTAGAGCCAAGAGGCAAAGTTGGCAAAAGCCTCTGAGCGACTGGTCAGCTGTTCCGCGGCTGACATTCTGAAGCAGGACATCCTGTCAACTGGTGCCGTGCCACTTTGTCTTTCTGCTTTTAATGCCGTTCTCTTCAAGATTAGTAGGACACGGCAGGGTTCCCGGCAGAACGACTGAAAGTTTGGCTAGTTGGGTTTTAGGATGTGGGCGCTTACGACCTTGCTTGACGATGGCAACCCGTAATTTTCAGGACTTTGAAGCATTGTTTGCTACAGCTTTGACTGGCAACGACATGCAGTGCTTGTCGCAGGCGGTTGAAATGCATGGTTGCGGGAGTTAGCACACAAGCATGTATGACAGATGAAGACGTGGATGGCTTCAACATTTGCAGATCGGGCTCATAGGGCCCAGGCAGAGGTCCAGTGAGTCGAGTGTATCGATCGAGCATTCTGCCAGCACGTGCAAGCCTGAATCGGATCTTGCAGAAGCCTTTGTAGGCTATTGTCGATCAACAGATCGCGGAGTTCATCTCGCGCTTAGAGGTGCAACTTCAGGACATCATTAGCGATGGCCTCCGCGATGCCATGCGTGTAAACGAAAACACGACATCGCCGGCTTTCTGCAAGGACCCGAATCACCCGACAGCACCTGCCAGCGGCTTATCCGAGACTGTGGATTTCAGCAGAGACGAAGCTGACCTCCAGAATTTGCATGCCCTGAATCACCACAACAATGCTGCATGATTCTTCCTGGATCCATAAGGCCTACTCTATCAATGCCTCCTTCGTCAGTAGACACCGTATCCGTGGTTCGATCTACTTGATCTTTTCGGAAGGGTTCGAATCCAAGCAAAAAAGGAGAAGGACCCGTTTTGTGAGCTTCCGACTGTGTTGAACAACATCACAGAAGTGCCCGCTTTTCCGATCCACGACGGCCTGTAGTTCAGCATCGCGAGGGTAGTATTTCTTATGTCGAAAACCGTTCAGGACATGTGCGTTTGGCCTTGGGCAGGAGGTGGCAGGAACTAGATGCATGTTGTTTTTGCAGTGAGATTCTGGCGGCCAAAAGCAGCAACGAGTAGAGTGGGGAGCAGTTGAAGCAAGGGAGCCGTTGGAGAAGTGTTCGTGCCTGAGTCCAAACACGTTCTCATGCGAGTCTTGATGAGCATATGCAATCTGCCTGAGCCTTTTGTGATGGCTTCTTGGTTTCGAACAGAACTTCGTTGTATGCTGCGGCAGGTGACAGCTTGCTTGGCCTTTATTGCGAGGGTTAGTCATGCGAGTGCTCGTCCATAATGTGCAGTGGAAGACAGCTGGATTGGGATAGAAGGGTTCAGTTCCGAAAGATGTAAACAGAAACGGGACTTGCCATGACATGCGTCTCACCAGGTCAAGATACTTTTGGCGAATCAGAACGCCGTGTGGCAGTTCTGTGGGCGATGTGGCACCCGACTCCTTTACATCCCGAGAGAAGCTAGACAGCCTGTCCCAGAGAAACAGCACGTTTCGCCGGAAACGATGAACGAAGCGGTTTCGATCGCACCGAGATGCTGCCGAGTGGAAGGTTCACATGACACTTAAGGCGGTTTGATCCCACAACGGCCACTTCTGTTTTCGTAATGTTTCGGACACAGTTACATAGACTTGGACAAACCAAAGTGATCGAAGAAGAAGACCAGCAAAATCCAGTGATTGGTGTTGTTGATATGCAGATCTGTCCGAAGCGAAAACAAGCATTCTTGCACAGTGTACAGCACAAAGTGACCCCAGAAACGAGCGTAGCTTGGACATTTGAAAGCCGGAAACTTTCATAATGTGCATGAAATCAGTGGAGACGCGCTTGAGAATCGTTTGTGCTTCGCAGTGGCAGACTGACGTAACACAAATCCAGTTTGTTAAGATTCGGAAAATGCAACTTCTTGCAATTGTAATTGCTTGACGGCGCCCGCCGCGGCCCGGTCACAGGTGGAGGGCAGTCTCCAGTCGGCGGCAGCTCGGAGGGCAGGAAACGACGAATGTGGCGCAAGGGGGGAGGGGAGTGGCCGAGGTCGAGGCTGACAAGAATCTACCTAGAACACTTTTATGTTGATGCTTTATTGCTTGTGCTAATCACTGGTCAAGGCGTTGTTGTGCGACCGCAGCGGCGCACAGTGAGACTTCGTGCTGCGAACGGGATGGGAATGCGACAGACTTTCTTCCTTGTTTTGGGGCCGTTTGCAGAAGTACAGCGTAGGTTGAACGCGTGCGAGGCAGCAAGATGAAGCCGCGGTCAACCGTACCAGTAGCATGGCATATCTTGTCATGTGCCACTCATTCAAGACAAATATTTGATGATTTGGGGTTTTTGGGAAATCTGTGCTGAAAACAAACTCTCGATTGATTTGCTGTTAGGCTGTATGCACATATAACTATGACTATATACATATATATATATATATATATATATTGATTGATTGCTTACGGTTTCCACGCCCGTGTGAAACGCCTGGGACAAAAAGCCATTGAGGAAAAAGCGGAAATGGATGGTTAGCAGTCAGCAACTGCAGGTGGCCGTTCCCGAGTTTTAGCGGAAAGCTTTGCACCAGGCTTCGAAAGGAGTTTGCGCTTCCATTCAGGGTTTCTTCCCTGGACCCCGCGAGGTCCTTCGGTGTATTCTTGCTTCTGACAATCGTGATCAAATCTGATGAAGTCACTGGTCTTCAAAGCTGCATGTGACATCCGACGGTCGAGGCCGATGACGTATCGCAGGCAATGGCAGATCTGCAGGCCAAGCAGTTTGGAGTTTGCTGCTGCTTCCCTCCCATTGCGATCCTCGCGAGAAGCACTTGCTGTACCGTACACAGCCAGTATGAGCCATATTCTGTCTGCGATACCAGGACTCGGTTCGCATCCAGGAGAAGCGTGGAAGGCTGCAAATGCTGAGGACACGAAAAGCGCGTGTCGCCACTACTGCTATACAAGTCAGCACGAAACCGTTCCGTCATGCCAGTCCTACTGTCAGGAGCCAGATCGAGCAGCAAGAACTCTGCAACAAGAAGCAGGTACCAGAAATGTTCGTATCTTGCGGGAGGGGTAAACGGTTGCTGCATCCTCCTGCTGCAGGCAGACAGCAACATGGCCATGTCTGCCCGCATGCAGGCACTCTTGGCAGACACCTTCCTATGTGCAGATAGATTGTCGTCTTTTGGAGGCTGCGAAGTCAAAACTTGACCGCGACACGTCCGGATTGGTGGCAGCTCCCCCGAAAGAAAGGGTGGCACGGGGTTATCCGGTTGAAACGGGGTTGCAGCCCTTTCTGCCAAGGCAGAGCTATGTGAAGACAGATTTTTGCCGACCCGCTCTGCTGCCTGATCTGGAGCTGTTGAGCCCTGCAGGGCTCAGCAGAAATTCGAAATTCGAAATGCTACTCCTAGGCCGCGCCACTTGATTTCACGAGTCGCATGCGATGCATGCCACTGCTTCGTCATGGACCCGCGCGGTACCTAATTCGGGGAATCTTCGAGCCACAGGCTTGGATTAAGAGGGAAAAAGAAAGAGCAGCAGCACTTCTATCAACAGGCAAACTTGGGGGACATGGATTTTGCATACAACCCTTGCTCCGACCAGGAGATGCGAGGGGGATGTACGCGATAGCAATCGATGCTGCCATGCTCGAACCAAGTAGATTTGAATTGCTGTCCGTAGTTTGGCATAATGATCTTGCATCTAATTCTTGTATCCTTGGCGTGCTGGAACGTCGACTCTGCAGAGCCTTGCTTACCTGATGCGATTCCTGCAACGAGCAGACGGTCCATTGCGGATGAAGTTGGAACGCCAACCCCGATTCGAATTGGAGCCTTCAGCTGGAACCTGGCAGTCCAGCTCAGCGTGCTACTAGATTTGATCATCTCGGAGAAGCTTGGATATGATACGGCACCTGTTGAATTCTTGGGATTCCCTTCCTTCCAAGGCCTCGTCTTGAAGCTTGCAGGCTGCGCAACAGCAGCATGCAATGACACGGTTGATGGGGTGCACATCATCGTAGATGCATTTCCTGGAGATGCGGAGACGCTGGAGTTGTTCAGATCCGAGCATCCTGAGCGAGTTCCGGAAAATTTGGGTGGGATGGGATACACCTTCAGCTGGGGTATTTATCTCAAAGGTTCGGTTCGAGATGAAGCATTTCGAGAAGCGGCTCTGCCTTTGGAGTATTACAGGAACTACAACTCAAGCATCCATCGCCCACATCGGTTCTTTGATGGCTTGTCAGACCTTGACATGGAGGATTTTATCTTGTGTAATGATTCCACCACTTATGGAGATGATTTCACCAATGGGCCAGTTTGGTCGAATTATGTGCATTGGACTGGAGATATTGATGGAGTTATCGAGACATCAGACGGATATGCGGCCAAATGCCCTGACGGGCGCTTTTGGCTGTCCCCTGCGTGTCGAAGCAACACATCTGAGTGCATTCCAGTCTTATCTGCTTTTGCAACTCTGGCCAACATGTTGCATTGGGCGACTGCTCACAACCTTCCATTCGCAATTGGACGGCCGCCAAATTTCGTAAGATATCAAGAGCTGCTCCGGAAATATGACATTTTGCATTATTGGTGGGAGCCAGATGAAGGCGAGCTGACGGACTTGCGGGTGTCGAGGCTTGTGCTTCCACCACACAATGCCTTGGAATACGCGGATGGCAATCTCAGGACGGCAGCAGTGGGCACCCAGTTGAATAAATACGGGAGCTCTTTGCTAGCACGCTTTGCGCCTCGAGTCAGGGGATTGGTGCAGAGAGTTGCGACCAGCGAACAGACTATCCTTAGCTTGGCGAATTCAATCTCTTTGCCGACGGGAGATGGCCAGCAGCTTGGGGACGTCTTCTTCACAAATCAGGGGGAAGCTCGCAAGCAAATGTGCGAATGGGCCAAGTCAAACCGAGATATTTGGGAAGAGTGGCTCCCCATTGAAACAAACTGCATCCTCGGATTTGGCTTGGTCAACGAGCAAGATGAACCTGTAGCTTGCATCGATTTGATCAGTGATTTCCCGCAGTAGCAGGCTTAAGGAGTCGTGGCTTTCGGCTTCGTGTAGTACGAGTAGGAAGCTGCATGCTAAGATAAGCTTCGGCACCTCATCTGCATACGTGTACGGTTGCGGCGCGAACGCTGCGCATTCCAGATGGTCAGGGGAACAACTTGTTGCTTGTGTCGCGATGAGTCCTGCCTGTTTTGACCGGGGTTTAGTTTGGGGTGTCAGATGTCCGTGTGCAGGTAGACTCTCGCGAGCGAGCAGTTACATGCAGCCTCTGTCCTGCAGGGAGGTTCTCTCAGTTCATGGTGGATCCGGTTGGACATACTCACCGATGCGCCCAGTGCCCACCTGGCACGCACCAAAACACGCGTGGCAAAGCTTCGTGTGAAGCTTGCGACCCGGGCATGTTCGCCAGAAGTCCCGGTCAAGACTTGTGCTCGCCTTGTCCCCGTGGCTCCTTTGCTGATGCTCTTGGAGCAAGCTCGTGCTTGAGTTGCGGAAATGGCACCGAGAGAACAACAACTGCTCTTGTGGAGGACGAGTGGATGGAAATCCAAGGGGCTAAGTCCGCTTCCAACTGCCGGTGTAGACCAGGGAGCTTTCTGCAGAATGACCAGTGTATCCTCTGTGGGGTGGGAACTACGTGTCCGGGATCAAACTCCTTACAAGTCCTCCCTGGTTTTCATTGCAAGTCCGATGAACCAGGACTCGTGTACAAGTGCTTCGGTATTGCGGAACGGTGCCCAGGAGGTCTGCCAGGATCTTGTGCAGCTGGCAGGGATGCTAGCAGCCCTGGTTGCAGTGAATGCTTGTTTGGGTTGCAACCCGGTGGTGCAGAATGCAGAGGTTGCTCAGGCGGCGATTATTTCCGTTTGGTTGCATACGGTCTGCTGGTAATTGCTGCCACTGCAGCCTTGCACGTCTTGTTCTTTGTCGGTGGCCATGGCAATAATCGCCTGCAAAGCAAGCTTGTGACGGCAGCCCTGTGCTGGAGCCAGCTGATCACCTTTGCACAGTTCTTTGCCGTGATGCGACAGATTCAGGCAGTAAACTGGGCTGATCCTTTCTTGAGTTTCTTGCAGTTCTTCGACGTTTTCTCGCTTCAGACTATATTGAGTTCGCTGTCCAGCATCAGCTGCTTCACAAGGTTGACACCAGAAGCAAGTTTCCTTACTCGCACACTTCTGGTCCCCGCATTTTTTGCGGTGGGGCCCAGCATATCGCATGCCGGCTTCGTGTTTGCAGCCCGACGGCGTAGCTCGCAAGAAGCACCTAAAATTGGCTGGCTTTTCGGGACTTTGGGATCCTTGTGTTTGCTTTTCTTTATTATGATGTGTTTTATCTGCTTGGAACCGTTCCGATGCAATGTGCATCCGAATGGTCTTGCCACCATGCAGACCGAACATGGTGTCTTCTGCGACCTCACCGGGCAACATTTGAGCTTGTGCATGGTCGGCGGAGTGATACTACTGATTCCTTTGGGCTTCTTGGCACTGTCCACTTGGATCATTCACAAAGAGCTTCCCAGGCGCGTGGCCAAAGGAGACACCGAATTTGTCCAGACGACCTCGTTTTTGACGATGAGGTTCAAGCCGGGATATGAAGGCTTCACAGTGGTTTTCTTGCTGCGCAATTTGCTCCTGCCGGTCACACCTATGTTTACCTCCACACCAGTAAGCCTTTTGGTGATGGGCTCACTCTTGACCACAAGCGTGGCGGTAGTGGCTTATTGGCAGCCGTGGCGCACCCTACTCAGTACCCAGGTCGACGTCTTCGGGCATGTTGTGCTGCTGATGGTGTTGCTGTTGAGTGCTTTGAGCGTCCCAGATCACGACGATCCTTGGGTCATGATCTTCTGCACCATTATGGCCTTCCTCTTAGTGATGGTCATACTGTTTGCAGCGGTGTGTTCCCTGGTGCAGTACGTGAAGTCCAGGTTGCGGAAGCCATTCTGCTTCTTCATGTGTCACCACAAAGCCACGACAGCTTCGCTGGCACGATGGTTGAAGATGGAACTTCGAGGCCCAATGCATGCATGAGTGAAAGTCGATTCTTGTAAAACCCGCACCTCTGCTCTAGTAGTCACTCTAGTCAAACCTCCTCGAACCCCAGTGATGCCGTCCATCCGTCCCAAGACACTTCCCGAGAGAAGGGTTCTTCGTAAAAAGCACGTACTTGTGCACGTGCTGATACCTTTACCCTGCATCTGCACTCTTTGTTGCATGTGGTAAGATTACGCACGTTGATAGTCGGTTTTCGAGTTGAAAGGTGAAGAGCACAACTTTTATCATGGTCAGCGTAAGTCTAGTCCAACGGTCAAACATTCAAACAGTTACGCGTGCAAGCATCCACACGCAACACCGAACTTTTGCTGCACCTCATCTATTCAACACTGAGCCACGTCACTGTCGGTCATGCCTTGTCCGAGAGGCCGCATTTTCGTCGCAATGTCATACGTGAGTCTTTGTCCGTCGTCCGTGTGGCTTTGTGCTGCTATGTGCTAGGTGCTTGGGGTGCGTGAGTCCAGATTATGTGACTAGGAGAATCTGGTACCGCCCAACTGCCTGTATACCAACTGTATGTCAGAATGCTTCACTATATATAGATTGACCCGGCTGCATGGTGGCAAGCAAAATGTGGCAAAAACCTTTCTGATGAGGAGTCGAGTTTGTTCCTCACGATCAAACTTGGCATCTCGAGAAGTTTAGAAAGTCCCAAATGCTGTTGATATTACACGCAAAGTTGTCGTTGGTCTGTGCCTCTCTCGGCTTGAAAGTTTTCAAAGTGAGTCAGGGCCTGGGCACCCCATGTTGCGATGCTTCGAACAAATATGCTGAAGCTGTTCCCAGCATCCCGCATTTACTCCTACTTGTATTTCTTTGTCGTGTGTACCTGCTCTGCTCGAGTGGGGTCTGTGTGGGATCGTGTGGTGTGCCGAGGCCGTGGTGCCAACTTCACAACATTCCTTGATCTGGACAGTCTGACCGATCTCACGCAGCTCTTCAACTATGTGAGTCTCTCTGGATGGATTGCAGTAACCCTGGTTCTCTAGGTTCATAAACATTGATGTATTGTTCTCTTGTTGATCATGCTTTCATGCGGCGTCTTCAGGTACTCAAGTGCAGAACTTCGTGATTCTCGGCAGTGCCGGCATCGTTGCCCGGAAGTGGTGCTTGGGAGAAATGACGACGGCGAGACTTTCGAAGGTGGAGTCCGTTCTCGCAAGTTTGCCGGACTTCAACCTCCCCGAGGAAAGTTTCATCAGGGAAATTTCTACCATTGTGCCAGACATTTTGGATCTTACAACCTATGGGTACGGATTGTCTGAAGTCAAAGCATCGTTGCGGTGGCTTGCTTCTTTGAAGACGATTGCGGTGGAGAGGATCTCTGCAGCGAGTATATGTGGACTGGTTACTGAGCTGACACACTCCGGGAACAACAGTGTAAGCGACATGGCGCTCACAAGCGCAGGTGCTTGCGTTGTGGTAGACCACGAAAATGCAGAAGCCCTAGCGTCCGCCCATGTACTGACGCGCTTCCTGGCCCCAATCATGATGGATCGTGGCACGCCTGTTTTGGTGCTCTCTCCGGAGAACCCGGAGATCCGACTGGAGCAGATTCAGCCCACATCAATAGTGTTGATATGCTCAGAGAATTGCTTTGCGTCTCAATTTGTCAAGAAGTGCGTTTTGAAAGCGCGCTTCCTCCTCTCTTGTTCGGTCTTGCCAGTGGTATTGGATGAAGGCTTTGTCGTGCATGGATCGCCGCCAACGTCTGCTGCTGACGAGGATGGAGGGGCTTATCGAAGTGTCCTCGCGGCTGTCTTCTTAGAGGTGGCACTGCCGTTTCCCACCCGAACAAGTTCAGAGGATGACTTATTTGTCCGTGCTTCGCACATTGGACGGCGACTCTCACCAGGATCCCTGAAAACTCTTCGGTCCAAGCTGTGGATGACAAGCAAAGCGCCCGAAAGCAACGGTGTAGATTCAAACTTGTACGAGGATGGATGGCCCTCTCCACATGAAGGTGAGATGGTGTCCCACGCATTCTGAGAGATGCAGGTGATGTTTGTACGTTGCAGAAGACAGCCTTGGATTGTTGATGTCACGTAGCAATGGATTGCTCAAAGGCACCTTGCTTCCGGCATCGAATGATTCTTCTGCATTTCCCTTGACATTTTTCAAGACCATACAGGGGAAGCCAACCACCGAATATAGAGAGCGCCTTGCACCGGTTTTGGAGCTGTTTGCAGTTGCACCTCGTGTAGCTTCCGGCATTGCTTCACACTGATGTAGACTGGATTTTCTCGAAGGAGCCTGTGAAGCCATTGCTGCCTCCCCGAAGGGCAGCAGGGTTAGTTGTAAATTGTTTCTTAGATGTTTTTTTTGGTCTCAGATGTAACTTTTTCGTACCTACCCCACCTACCCCGAGTAGCCCGCCTATCCCCACAACCCCACCTGCGCCACTTACCCCACCTACCCAGCATACCCCCACTACCCCACCTGCGCCACCTACCCCACCTACCCCCAACCAACCAAGCAGTCAGGCTTTGCGCAAGAGGAGGGAACGAGCTCCATTCTCACAACCAAGCGCGCGTGGCTTGCAGCTACAACGCTAAAACCGAATTCTCTCTGCTTCGAGGTGGCTGTTAGTTCAATTTCCCCAGCAGGAACCCTTGACCGAAGCGGAAAACCCTGAAGAGCTAATCCGGCTGGAATCTTTAGCAACTTTAGCCGAAAACCCCAAGGAGTGCATCCAGCTGGAATCTTTGTTTAGCCCAAGTTGACAACCCTGGGTTTAGGGTTTTAGGGTCTAGCACCCGTGACTGGAAGTGAGGGCTATAGGGTAGTTAGTTCCTGTACAGTTTGCATGTTACCGACGTTTTGGCTCAAGGCCAATTGCAGAAGCCTAAAAAGTGCTTTCATGGTAGCGGAGCAATCCTGGATGGGTTGCTGCTGTGCTTATAGAAGGAGGAGAGCACAGCGCGAAAGAGCCAGGACCAATTGGGTCCGATTGATTCGGAAGGTAAGGAAGCTGCGAAAGCTTCAGCGTCTTTTCCACAACACTGGAGTGCGGCTCCAGGATTTTCCAAGAAGGTTGCTTGATCGCCTTTCGAGGCATTTTAAGAAAGACTGATGTCTCAGCCGGGAAGTCCCACAGGAGTGGGGGCTACCCAAGGAGAAGAAATGTTACTGAGGCTGCTTCAAGGGCAGCAAGAGCAGCTTCAGAGGCTGCAAGAGATGATGGGAGCCCAGGTTCATGGGCAGCAGCAGCTTGCAGCTGCGACACAGAGCTTTGCATCGGCAAGCTCGGCGGCTACCAAGGGGCGTGGCCTGATTGATGTGAAAGCTGTGGGGCGACCGAGCCAGCTGGGCGGTACTTTGGAAGAGGCGTCGCGGAACTGGCGCCAATGGTCGTATCGTCTTGAGCTTTGGTTGGCCTCGCAATTTCCGGATGCTAGGAAGATCGTTGCTTGGGTCAAGGAAAGAGGAGATACCGAGATTTCTTTGGCAAGCTTGGAGTCGACTTCGATTACGGGCGTTGCCAAGGAAGCGGTGCTGGAGTTTAATCGCCAGCTTGAGGTGGTGCTTGGGACGTTGACCAGCGATGCGCCTGGGGACATCACAATGAATAGTTCGACTGGGTCAGATTTGGACATGTTCCGGAGGCTGCACGCCCGCCTTGATCCATCGGACATGGTTACCAGCATGAGGTGGCTCAGGTCACTTATGAGCACTTCGGCGGTGGATTCCGTCACCGACTTGGTGCCGGCCATTGAGAAATGGGAGGATGCCCATCGGCGGTACAGCCAGCGGAAGGACTGCGCACCTTTAACGGAGCAGCAGAAGATGGTTTCCTTGATCGGCCTTGCGCCGTCTGAGCTTCAGGGCCACCTGGAGCTAAACCTGGGAAGGCTCAGCAGCTATGAGTTGCTGAGGAGAGAGATGGTGTCCTTTGTGGATACCAAGCGGGCCTTTACGGCCACGGACGGTGCTGTGCCAATGGAGGTGGATGCTTTGAAGGGTGCCAAAGGACCGAAGGGAAAAGGAAAGAAAGGAGACAAAGGAAAGGACAAGGCCAAAGAAAATAGGACTTGTCGCATATACCAACGCGTAGGTCACCTTGCTAGGGACTGTTGGTATAAGGATAGTAAGGGTAAAGGTAAAGGAAACCCGAAGGACCCTAAGGCTCAAGCGGGTAAGGGTAATAAGAACCGGCCAAAGGGCCGAGCTAACGAGCTTGACGGCACAGAGGGCGGCGCCATGGATGGGGCCGGCGATGCCGAGTATGAGGCCGAAGAGCCTGATGAAAAAGCCGAGTTGGGTTTCATTGGGGCTCTGGATGGCGAAGGTGATGCTGATCCCAATGCAAACCCTATAGACGGCAGGGAAGACGATAGCGGGGGTGATGGAGCGCTTCGTTCTTCACCTGATGCCGACCACTCTGGAGCCGGGAGCTCTACGGATCCCCCGGCACCCAAGCCAAGGCGGGAACCGCCAGTTCCACCCCAGTGGGCCTAAGGATGGCCGATATGAGTGTGCTGAACAAGCTCCAGGAAAGGCGAAGGGAGCTTGAAGCTCAGATCGCTGAGGTGGAAGCTAAGGGCAGCGAAGGTGACTAAGGGGAGCTCACTATGCACAGGCTGATGCTGGACATGGTCAAGGGCCAGATAAGGAGGGCCCAAGAGCTCAAAAGGAGCCGGGAAGAGAGGATCTCGGCTAGGCGTCAGGCCGACTTGGATGCGGGCCACAACCCGCGGTTGGCCAAGCGGAAGGAAAAGAGCCGCCAGCGGGCGGCCAAGCACCGGCAAAGCCTCAGGCTAGGGCAAGCACGAGTCAGGAGGGAGGAAGCCCTGGAGAGGAGGTTTAATATCCCCGAGAGGGCACGCAAGCAGGATGAATATCCGTTGCTGCCCAGTGCTGGGTCCAAGGTGGCTGCGCCACCATCTCGCCGAGAGAAGGCTATGATGAGGGGTGACGGCGAGGACCGCGAGCACTCTGGGGATGGATGAGCTCGACAAGCCCAAGGAAAGGGACTGGAGTGCCAAGGCCCGACGGCTAACGCCGGAAGGCCGTGAAGGCAAGAGGCTGCGAGAACAGAAGAGAAAGAAAAGGAGGGCTCAGGAGATGAAGGAAGAAGCGGGTGGTGGACCGCCTCGGTCCCCACCGGCAAAGGTTCGAGGAACTGATCGGCCCAGTGAGCCGAAGGGGCCACCGCCTAAATTGCGGCCGACCTCTAAGCTTCGACCGACACCCAAGGAGCCGAGTACCCCGCCAGCTGGCCACGAGTCAAGAAAGAAGAAGAAAGGAGAGGAAGAGGAGGAGCTGGTGGAAATGATTTTCACCTTCCCCGACACTGATTCAGACCCCGGCCACCGACCTTTGGGCCGTGGGCCAAGCAAGGAGCCCACCAGGTGGTGGGGGGGGCGCAAAGGAGGCCGTGGTGTACTCCTTCGAGCCAGGGTTTGGTGGAGCCGCTTCGGCCACCACCACCCAAGTGATCCTGGACAGTGGGGCAAGTCACAACGTGATCCCACAAGAGTGGGTGAAGCACCTTGAGTGGGGACCCGCCGAAGGACCGGCAGGCTTCCGCACCGCGGATGGAAGCTGGTTGCCAAACCCCGGTACGGCCGTGGTGTCTTTGAGGTCGACCGAAGGGTTTTCCTTTAAGGTCCGGTTTTGCGTGGCCTCGGTGCAGCGTGCGCTTTTGAGCGCAACCCAAGTGCTGAAGCTTGGGCACACGATCGTCCTGAAGGGATCGAAAGCAGTGATCCATGTGAAAGGAAGCAAGGAGAAAACTTTGGTGTTCAAAATCCTTGGGTCGCCCAAGGCGACGTTTGCTTTCAAAGGTTTCCTGCGGCACTGCCCGGAGGAGAGCAGGTAAGCCCAAAGGGAGGCCGGAAGCCAGAAAGCGTTTTCACCCACCTTGCGGTAGCTCAGGGAATAGGTGCTGTAGATGTACAGAAGAATTCGAAAGTTTCACCAGACAGCCATTTTGGCGCGGTAGGAAAAGGTGGCGTTTTTCACCTGCCTAGGCCCCCTCCGGTAGCTAGTCCTCCCGACCACTTTTTCATAGGATCAGAAGGAGAAGAGGACGAAGCCGAGGAGGAAAGAAGCAAAGCAAAGGAAAAGGCAAAGGAAGAGCCAGGAAGCCCGACGCGCAAACCAAAGGAAAAGCCAGGAAGCTCAACACGCAAAGCAGAGGAAAAGCCAAGAAGCCCAACACGCAAAGCAGAGGAAAAGTCTAGGTCCAACTCGGGCAAGAATCGATCTGGATCCCTTTATGTGGGTGAAGCCGGTAGAGCTGATCCACCAAGGGAGGAAGCTGCTTCAGCGTCCTCCCAGCCGCAGGTCGATGAGGGTCAATCTGCTCAGCCGTTGGCGCGGCCAGACCGACCAACGCCCGAGATGATAGCAGCTCATGAGGTTTCCCACGTCCCGTACAGGAGTTGGTGCAGAGCCTGCGTCGCAGGTCGTGGTCGAGCCTATCAGCACAAAGCTTCGGGTCAGGAGTCCACGGTGCCAGTCATCAGCATGGACTACCTCTACTTCAATGAGAGATCCGATGGTGCTGGTCTGCCCACCATAGTCCTTCGTGATCGCCACTCGAAGGCTATCTTCTCGCACCTCCTCCCGTGCAAGGGAACTACTGGGTCAACGCACCCTGAGCGAGCTATCTTGAAGGACCTTGAATTCCTAGGGTACAAGAAACTGGTCCTGAAGAACGACCAAGAAGCTTCCATCAAAGCTCTATCTCTCGCTGTCCGCAATGGCTTCAGTGGGGAGATTGTTCCGGAAGAGTCACCTAAAGGGGACCACCACGGACAAAGCAACGGAGAAGCTGAGAGGTCTGTTCAGACCGTACAGGGTCTAGTGCGAACCCTGAAAGCCAGTTTAACCGAGAAGGGCATTACCCTTGAACCCACTTCATCCGTGTTTGCTTGGATGATTGAATATGCCGGAGTGCTGCACACCCTGTTCAGTCAAGAGCTTCATGAAGGGCTGACGCCTTTTCAGCGAATAAAGGGGCGCAAGTGGCAAGTTGCTTTGCCATGCTTCGGTGAAGCTGTGGACTTCCGCCGCAACACGCGCTCAAAGCTGGACTCGCGATGGCAATCTGGAGTTTATCTGGGTCTGCGCCTGCAAAGCACGGAGAAGATCGTGGGAACCAATCAAGGGATCTTCGTGGTCCAAAGCATCAAGCGGAAACCCGAGGGTCAACAATGGGATTCCGACTTGGTCAAGGCAGTTCGTGGATTGCCCTGGAAGACCTCTCCGGATGAGACTGGAGATGGTGCTCGATTACCCGAGCCACTGACCGTTCGAGCCCAGGTTGAGGAGGGACTGCCTCCACCCGCTCGTGAACTGGTTAAGCCCGAGGTAGCACCCTTCAGGCGTACCTACATCCGCCAATCTGACCTGGACAAGTTTGGGTATACGGCTGGATGCGAGGCATGCTCAGCGATCCGTGAGGGTCGAAAGAGAACGGGGATCAACCACACTGAGCACTGCCGCTCAAGGATCATGGAAGCCCTAAAGGATTCAGAAAGTGGAAAGACCCGACTGGAACGCGAAGAGCAACGTGAGAGTGAATTCTTCGACAAGGTGAATATAGCGGAAGAGAAGAAGAGGAAGGTGAGCACAGGGCAGGAGGCGTCTTCTTCCGCAGAACCTCCAGCGACCCAACCTTCCAGACCTCTGACCATTGCTCGCCAACCGCCTTTGAGGCCAGTGGTTCCGAGTGAACCTAGCTCTCTGCCACCTGGTGGTGCGGCTGCCGGCCAGAAGAGAAAGAGTGAAGGCGGGGGGGACGAGGGTCGTGCCGAGCTGGCACCTCCTGACGAAAGGTCCGAAGGTCAAAAGCGCAAATCACCTGAGAATGCCGAGGGCATGATCGAAGAGCTCATTCTTCAAGAGCGCGAAGGTTTCATTGCCAGTGTCGAGAACGAGGAACAACCTACATGCGACTTAGAGGACGACTTGCGGGAGGAAAAGTTCTACGACGAGAATACTGGTAAAGAGCTTCCCGCCGAAGGTGTCAAGCAAGCCCGCATGGAAGAGATACAAGTTATCAAAGACATGCAGGTATGGGAGCCGATACCAAGACCCCCTGGCGAACGGGTCATCGGCACCAGATGGATTGACATCAACAAGGGGGATGATCTTCGAAAGAAACTGCGCTCAAGGCTGGTAGCACAAGAACTGAAACGAAAGAAAGGAGTCAACGAAGATCCGAGCTGGACCGAGTTCTTTGCGGCAATGCCGCCATTGTCTTCGTTGCGGGCTCTCTTCGCGTTGGCTACGACTGGGCGCGTACCCGGCCCAAACAAGAAAGCCTTTCAGATGAACGAGCATGGGGAAGTCTGTGTGCTGTTCATTGATGTGAAGAAAGCCCACTTCTGGAGTCCAGTTAGGAGGCGACTCCTCGTGGAGCTACCACCAGAAGCTGGAGAAGGACCTGACAAGGTCGGCCTTCTCAAAAGGAGCCTCTACGGAACTCGAGATGCACCAAGCAACTGGGAACATGCCATCAAGAAGGTAATGACCGATTTGGGTTTTAAGCAAGGGGTGTCCAACCCGTGCCTTTACTTTCATCCTGAGCATGGCTTACGTTGCAATGTGCATGGAGACGACTTCACTGTCGTCGGGGGCTACAACAAGCTTCAATGGTTGATTGAGTCACTTCAGAAAGCGTGGACAATCGAGGTGCGAGGAATCTTGCCAGGAGTCACTCACAGCATCTCTGTGCTGAACAGATTGGTTACGTGGACCAATGAGGGGATTGAGATGGAAGCCGATCCTCGCCACGTGGACCTGGTGCTGGAACACCTGGGTTTGAATAACTCCAGCCCTGTTACCACACCGCTTGTTAAAAGCACAGGGGATGAAGATGAAAGTCCACTCTCCAAGGAAGATGCTGGACTCTATCGGTCCATAGCAATGAGGATTGGGTATCTGTCAAGCGACAGGCCCGACATGCTTCGGACTGTGAGGGAACTCGCTAAAGGGCTTAAGGAACCCACTCAATATCACTGGAACCTGCTCAAGCGTGCAGGGAGATACTTGAGAGGGGCACCTCGCCTCGTGCAGCTTATCCCTCACCAAGAAGGGTTCAGTGTCATTCAAGGATGGAGTGACACAGATCATGCAGGATGCGTTCGCACGAGAAAATCCACAACCGGGACAGTCGTGCAACTAGGGAAGGCAGTCATCAAAGCCACTGCAAAAGGGCAGGCAGTCATAGCACTATCCAGTGGGGAAGCTGAATACTACGGCTTGATATCCACCACCAGCGCTTGCCTGGGAGAACAAGCAATGTTAGCTGATTGGGGCATCAACTGCCCTGTGATTATCAACATGGACGCCACCACTGGCATATCCATTGGAAGCCGGAGAGGTCTTGGACGTGTGAAGCACATCCACACCTGCTTCCTGTGGGTTCAAGAGGTGATCGATTCCGGCCGAGTTAAGCTGAAGAAGGTCCCTACGGGAGATATGCTGGCTGACCTGATGACAAAGCCTCTGGATGCGAAGCTTATCCAGAAATTCCTGCAAGAAATGGGCTACAATAGCAGAGCGGGACGACATTCTTTGGCCCTGAAGACGTGAAGCTAACAACCCATGCCTCACCACTCGTGAGAGCTGTGCCAGCATCTCACTCGGGAGGCGTGACTGGAAGTGAGGGCGGCTATAGGGTAGTTAGTTCCTGTACAGTTTGCATGTTACCGACGTTTTGGCTCAAGGCCAATTGCAGAAGCCTAAAAAGTGCTTTCAACCCGCGACGAAAGTCGTAAAGAGTGAATACCAAGCCAGCAGGAGCCCTGTCCCGAAGACGAAAATCTTGAGTGAATCCAGCAGGAACCCTTGACCGAAGACGAAAACCCTAAGGAGCGAATATTGCGGGAGATTTTTACCCAAGACGAAAACCCTGTGAATACCCAAGACGAAAACCCGAAGGAGTGAAATACCGAAGACGAAAGCAGGAACCTTTTGAAAACACGCAAACCCTAGGGAGTGAATAGCCGAAAACCCTAAGTAAGGAGTGACTCCAGCAGGATCCAATGACCGAAAACGACAACGCTCAGGAGTGAATCCAGCGAGAACCTTTCACCCAAGTCGAAAACCCTAAGGAGTGAAGCCTGCTGGTGCTATTTACAGCACCAAAATTGTGGCTGGGTGCTCCATGGACCAGATAAAGGTCAATACAGCTTGGAAGTGAGTGGCTTGGTGCTAAAACACCAAAAGAAGTTGTAACTAAGATGCCTGTTTTGCAACTCTTTGCGGAGATTGTTCTTGGATCAGAAAAAAGTTACAACTGAGATATTTTCGTGAAAAAGCTGAAAAGGTACATCTAGCAGCTAGCAATAAAACAAGTCACAACTAAGGGTTCTACCCCGCCGAAACTGCAGGTATCAGGTGAAGCAGGGTCCGAACGAGGAATGGAATCGGCTCAGCGAATCCGGTCGCGGGATGAGACTTATCAGATCAGGCGGACACAAGATCTAGAGGAACAATGCCTAGACCAATCGGCTCACAAGCATAGTGTTCAGACTTCTTGCGCTTCACGTCTTGCCTTGCACTTCATACAAAGCCATACAGCCGATGCTTCCCACTTTGCTGCCGTATTTCCGGCATGGGCTGCTGCGGCTTCTTACCACGACACTGCTGAGCATGGTGCTCGTGACACACCAGAACTCATGCAAGACCTGGGGTGGCGTGACATACAACAGGACTCATCCAAGACCAAGGAGGGCGTGACACAGGGGCTCATCCAAGACTGAGGGGAGCGTGACATACAACAGGACTCATCCAAGACTCAGGGGGCGGGTGACACACAGCGGGACTTATCCAATCCAAGAGCAAGAAGTGCGTGACATACACCAGGATTCATCCAAGACTGAGAGGAGCGTGACATACAACAGGATTCATCCTAGACCAAAGAAGGCGTGACATACAACAGGACTTATCCAAGACCAATGAGGGCGTGACATACACTAGGAGTCATTCTAGACCCCTGCGTTCGTCATCTACATGTAGATGCTGAGACATCACAGCACCATGATCCCACACGGCTGAGAACTTCACGCAGTCAACCCCTGAGCCGATGCAGCGCTTCGGCCAGGCACCTCATGATCCTTTTCGTGCGTTTTTTGATCAGTTTCTTCCGACCTGATCCCCATATCGTCCTGATCCATTTCTGGCTGATGCGTCCTCCTACCATTATGGTACTACCATTGCCTCTCCAGCCTGAAGATGGTAGCAGCCCTTAGCCACCAAACACGCCTTCCTCAACCCAGTTCTCTTGAGCTCGACACGACAGTCATGTCTAGCTAAACTGCACAGCAACTCCTGGAGCCACACAGCAAGATGGGAAGGCTCAGTCCAGGGCCCTGAGTAGTGTCAACGGACTTCTGCTGAAGTTTCGGATGGCATACCACACTTGAATAGCCAGGTAACAAGCTCACTTTCCTGCATTGCTGTTGCAAGCAGACATGTTGGGGCTCGACTGTGAAACTAGCTTGAGAATGTGAGTTCTCCGTTACAAGCAAGAGAAGCGAGCAGGCATTTAGCCAAGCTGTGGAAAGCCGACAGCTTTGATTCTCCGTAAAGAAGGCTGACCAGTTCTAGTGACATGCTTGCACCAACCAACCAACAATCAATCAATCGGTTACTCAGTCACATAATGCGGTGCTAAAGTAAGGATGTGGCAGGCAGCGTGCCCGAATCCATTTAGAGCATAGCAAAAGCCTCATAGTCTGACGTTTCAGGGAACGTTCCAGACTTGTCGCGTCATTTCCGTTAATAGTTTGTCGACTGTGCTCACCTCGTCTCGTCGTTTGGCTGATACTGAGACGTCCTATCTTCGCGACTAGTGTGATGGGTGATTGTCGGTCGGAACACAGTCGATGCGTGATGGCTGGATTTACGCCACGTGCTGTGCCGCGCTATAGAGTGTATCTGCACTGCAGGGTTTATTTAGTCTTCCCGTCGACACAAACAAGATTAGATATTGAGGCGCCTCGATGAACGAAGCTGAACTGCATCCGGTTCAATTTGACCAAGACCGGACAACTATTCCGATCTCTGTTCGCATCAGGACCATTCGCGAGACTGCCGTATTCACTCAGTGGAATCAGTCATGTGTCTATGGAGACGCCTGTAACATGCAACTTACTGGCTCGAGCAGGATATGATCCATGCCTCCCGTGAAATCACACAGAGCGAGACTTGAATGAAATCAATGCACAGCGACAATTGTAGAGACACATGACACTGATGGAGTGGGTCGGTCAAGAGAGGGCGCTTGCTTCCAAGATCCAAGACTCTAACCGTTAAGGTCCAGAACTTAGAGGATTCTGGGGCTTCTACCACCTTTATCGACATCTGCCCCAATCAGGCTCAGAGGTTGATCATTCTAAATGTTGCTCGATTTCGTGCATGCTTGTTCTTGGTCATCTACTTGTTTACTTACTCACACTCGTACACAATCATGCTCATGTACAGGGTGTACGCATACAGAGCCCAATCAATGGATATGGTTCATTTGTGTGCAGGTGCCTGTTCCGCTTTATTCTTGAGCCGGTGTTAAGTTGAAAGCACTGCTGCCGACAGCACCAACTGCATTCAGCGTTTAGGTCTTTACGGCGCGCAGTGATATGCCGAAGAGTTCAAAGGGTTCCCTTAGCCATGCCATGCAATTTATCCTCGTGGTGTTCGCGCGCCTTGCCTCGACTGTATCGGAAGTGCCGGCGACGAGTGTTCCAAGGACTCTACACACCAGGCCACAGTCTGCACTAACCAATCACGTTTGCACTCGCAAACTTATTCGGGCTGGGGTTCAGGAGTGTTATTTGTACATGGGTTTGGGGATTGGGGATTTAGGAGTTGGGAGCCCCAACCCACCCAACCCTTAAACTGCATGGTTCTGAGAGTTGAATCTCACTTGAGGTTAAGGACTTGGGGATTTATGGTTTGGAGACACCCAAGATTGATTTCGACCCCACGCAAACCCAAAATTTGGGCCTTGAGGTTGACATCGATTCTAGACAAGCTCTTAAAGTCCAACTAAGACAAGCTCAATCAGGCGGGTTTAATTAGGGCTTGTCAAGAAGCCGGTGAGAACCAAGCAAAACAGAATGGATCGCATTTTATGTGAGCCATAGTAAGCAAGAACCCTTTGGTTCCTACTACATATTTGATGGCGTTTCCCGACATGGATGCTATCAGGTTTGTGGATTTTCACCATGACTTGTATCTTCATGGGTTCACACGTGGATTCAGGCATTGCATTGTTCAGCTAGGCTTGCGGTAAAGAGGAACCATAAGGTCTACTAACTACACAAACAATGCAGCCTTGAGTGCCGTGCACACGCGCCTGTGACGCTCTACGTCTTTTGGTTGGTTGCTTTTTGTTTGCGCCTGTCTGCGAGAGTTGCACGACCCTACGGAGCATAACTGCATCCTGAGCACCGACGCGCTAAAACCCAAAAGAGACACTGGGTTATGATGGCATGGTTTAGGATCGGCGGCTTTCGCGCTTGGGGTTCAGGGTTAGGGCTAGGCGCCTCGTGTTTGATCTTTGATCTTCGGTTTTGTTCTCAATAGGTCGTTAGCCCGAAGCCTAAACTTAAGCTTTGGGATGAGGACCAGGCTCTACCGACTAGGTATTCCGACTGTAGCAGGAAGGAAAAGGGCCCGAAGACAAAAAAACAACTTAAGCTTTGGAGAAAGAGTCTTGAAGATGTTAAAGAAGGTCTTTGTTGGAGGCTTGCACCACATGCGCTAAACCTAGGCCGCCTAACCCAAACAAAACTCACACCCTCTGAGTCCTGGAGCTCTTAAATGCCGAAAGAGCTCAAGGTGCGTGCAATGCATGGTCGACATAGACTAGACCGTGGCTACGCGAATGAGTAAGCCGGCGAGGTGCGAATGCATGTGATTTTACAGCTTACGGCTCAGGGCTTCGCATTCAGGTCTGTTCAAGGCTTGGGGCTAGGGATCTCGGGCTTGGTCGTGAGAAGTTCAATTTAGTTGCGGTTTACAGGCTTCAGGATCTTCCATAGCACGAGGCATCGTGAAGACTATAAGACCCGGTCCCCCAACCCCCAAAGAGCCGAAGCCAAAACTATCAAACGTAATAGGGGCCTCCATAATTACCAAGACTGTTCCTTAGGGTTCCCTAGAGGTCATGAGAGTCTAAGCTCTGAACCCAAGAGGAATCTGCGGTGTGTTAGGCCTGTACTGGTAGTATATGGGGCGGAATAAATACAAATCACCTTTTAGCTAGTTGTACTATGATACACCCCGAACCCTTCCTCAATTATCAAGGCCCATGTATTACCTACTTGGACTTGAAGTTTACTGTCAGACTGTAGCAATCTTGGAATGTACGGCTTT